TTTCGCCGTCATTCCGGATGATTGTCACTTAAACTACTTTAAAGACCCCGTAACCACTTTCGCTCAAGTGGACGCTTCAAATCGAACTCATTGAAAAAATCAATATTCATAATTTGGAAAGCTATGATCGTTGAGGATTTTGTTCAGTATTGGGTAAATATAGACATACGTATAAATAAATAAATAAAATAAGAAAAAATATGGTTACTCAACCACGACCTTAGAATACTCTATAGCAGTGACAACCAATATATTTTTTCTCCAAAACGTGGTGTTTTTAATAAAAGTTTCTCTAAAGGAGAAAAAACCTGCTGGCAAAGTGGAGAAGCGGTATAAATGCGCTGATCGTGCCACATGTAAAGCCCACAATGGTCTGAAGCAAGTATAGCAAGCCATAGATTAAAGACTAACGCTAACACTATGTCTTTAAGCATTTTTAAAATATTCTTTATAATTAGGATATCAGTTTCGATTCAAACTTTAGAAGGATGTTAAACTTTTATTTTAAAATGGACAGATTGGACTTTCAGATGACATAACCAAACTTTATAAGTAAAAGTGTCTTCAGGCTATTATAACGTTTCAAATATTACTAAAAGTAAAGGGTTTCAAAGAAAACTTTAGCATCTCGGAAACATAATGGGAAAAATTGTATAAAAAGTAAATGTTGAAATTTTGAACTTCGGACATTATTTTGATTACAAAATTCTTCCAATAATCAATCTACCTACTTATAACGTAGGGTATTCGAACAATGCAAATATAAATCAAAGACAATAATATTAAAACTAATCGTTGATAACGAACGTAATACGACAACGGAAAGAAAGTCAATAAATTTTAACAAGTACTTACTTAAAAATAAAACAATAGTTAATGATAATAAAAATTGTTGCAGCTTAGATTACTGATTACTGAAATAGCAAAAGATAATAAATTTTGCCTTTGTTAAACAATAGTTTAGTTCTCACCATGGCATTCATAAGATCGAACAAATTAAATAAATTATTTTAACAGTATCACAGTGAGACAAATACTCTCCGAGTAATTTCAAAAGCGTATCATATGTATGTATAACGAATATCTAATAAGATGAAAGTGTAAAAGTTTTGAACTAATTTCATACTTTTACATCTATTAATAATAAAAAAATATGTCCTATTCAAACATTGATGAATCATTATTTTGATTTCATTTGTCAGTTCCAAAGTATACTTTGGAAAATAATGGGGAAATTTGATTGAATATTTACATTTGCAATAAATCAGGTTCTTTTTATCACATATAGGATTATAAATCAAGTTTCTTATAATAACAAATACTACATATTAATTAAGCAAAGTCGAATAACCTTAACTAACTAACTAACTAACTAACTAACTAACTAACTAACTAACTAACTACTAACTAACTAACTAACTAACTAACTAACTAACTAACTAACTAACTAACTAACTACTAACTAACTAACTAACTAACTAACTAACTAACTAACTAACTACTAACTAACTACTAACTAACTAACTAACTAACTAACTAACTAACTAACTAACTAACTAACTAACTAACTAACTAACTAACTAACTAACTACTAACTAACTAACTACTAACTAACTAACTAACTAACTAACTAACTAACTAACTAACTAACTAACTAACTAACTAACTAACTAACTAACTACTAACTAACTAACTAACTAACTAACTACTAACTAACTAACTAACTAACTAACTAACTAACTAACTAACTAACTAACTAACTAACTAACTAACTAACTAACTAACTAACTAACTACTAACTAACTAACTAACTAACTAACTAACTAACTAACTAACTAACTAACTAACTAACTACTAACTACTAACTAACTAACTAACTAACTAACTAACTAACTAACTAACTAACTAACTAACTAACTAACTAACTAACTAACTAACTAACTAACTAACTAACTAACTAACTAACTAACTAACTAACTAACTAACTAACTACTAACTAACTAACTAACTAACTAACTAACTAACTAACTAACTAACTAACTAACTAACTACCTAACTAACTAACTAACTAACTAACTAACTAACTAACTAACTAACTAACTAACTACTACTAACTAACTAACTAACTAACTAACTAACTAACTAACTAACTAACTAACTAACTAACTAACTACTAACTAACTAACTAACTAACTAACTAACTAACTAACTACTAACTAACTACTAACTACTAACTAACTAACTAACTAACTAACTAACTAACTAACTAACTAACTAACTACTACTAACTAACTAACTAACTAACTAACTAACTAACTAACTACTACCTAACTAACTAACGATAACTAACTAACTAACTAACTAACTAACTAACTAACTAACAACTAACTAACTAACTAACTACTAACTAACTAACTAACTAACTACTAACTAACTAACTAACTAACTAACTACTACTAACTAACTAACTAACTAACTAACTAACTACTAACTAACTAACTAACTAACTACTACTAACTAACTAACTAACTAACTACCTAACTAACTAACTAACTAACTAACTAACTAACCTAACTAACTAACTAACTAACTAACTAACTAACTAACTAACTAACTAACTACTAACTAACTAACTAACTAACTAACTAACTAACTAACTACTAACTAACCTAACTAACTAACTAACTAACTAACTAACTAACTAACTACTACTAACTAACTAACTAACTAACTAACTAACTAACTAACTAACTAACTAACTAACTAACTAACTAACTACTAACTAACTAACTAACTAACTAACTAACTAACTAACTAACTAACTAACTAACTAACTAACTAACTAACACAACTAACAAACTAACAAACTAACAAACTAACAAACTAACTAACTAACTAACTAACTAACTAACTAACTAACTAACTAACTAACTACTAACTAACTAACTACTAACTAACTAACTAACTAACTAACTAACTAACTAACTAACTAACTACGACTACTAACTAACTAACTAACTAACTAACTAACTAACTACTAACTAACTAACTAACTAACTAACTACTAACTAACTAACTAACTAACTAACTAACTAACTACTACTAACTAACTAACTAACTAACTAATGCTAATCCCTGATCGAAAGAAAAGATTTGTGGCTAAATAGCTGCTACAGTTTCTGAAAAAACGAATTCAGTATTAGAACAAGTAAGTTCTATATTCGGCTATGCCAATCTTATATACCCTGCACGTACGATTTTTATTGCAACAAAACAAAAAAAATACTAGTTGAAAAACGTAAAAGTACCAGAAAGTCCCCACTTATAAATTTTCGTTCAATCAGGTTGCAGATGCATAAAACCAAAAGTAACTGTCATAGAACGAAAATGTACCAAAAATCCTTTCCTACAGATTTCCATTAACTTAGTGCTCTTAATGTTTAATTATATGTTTGTTTCAATATTTATAAAAAATTCAAAAGGTACTCTTTAAAGAAGCAAAAAGTAACAAGAGGTCCCCATTTGTCTCTCATTTAAATGTGGCCTGGAATCCCTTCAAACATACTACTTATATGTTCTCACTTACTTCGGGCTCTCCATGCTTAATTTCATGTTTCTAGATTCAATATTATGGAAAATTCAAAAAGGAGCTTTTGTAGAACGAAAAAGTACCAAAAAGTGCCTTTTTATAGAAAATTCAAATAGTACCTTTTGAAGAACGAAAAAGTAAAGATTCTTATTTACTCCGGACTCTACATGCTGAGTTTTATGTTTCTCGGTTCAATATTATAGAAAATTAAAAAATTAGATTTTGAACAACGAAAAAGTTTCAAAAAGTACCCTTTTAGATCTTCTGATTTATTCCGGGCTCTACATACATAATTTCATGTTTCTAGGTTCAAGTACCAAGTACCAAAGTACCTTTTTATAGAAAATTCAAATAGTACCTTTTGAAGAACGAAAAAGTAAAAATTCTTATTTACTCCGGACTCTACATGCTTAGTTATATGTTTCTAGGTTCAATATTATAGAAAATTAAAAAAATACATTTTGAAGAACGAAAAAGTTCCAAAAAGTATCCTTTTAGATGTTCTGATTTAGTCTGGGCTCTACATACATAATTTCATTTTTCTAGGTTCAATATTATAGAAACGTTAAAAAGTACCTTTTGAAGAACGGAAAAGTAGCAAAAAGTACGATTTTATAGAAAATTCCAAAGCATGTCAGATAGAATTATTGAAGACTTAGGTTCCAAAGATATGTGGGGTCTTCAGAAAATTTCAACAGACAGACAGACATTTGAAAACAAACTTAACTGAAGAAGGGGGTTTACGTAGTTGGACAGGCGGACATGGCTAAACTGACTTCGATTCCTATTAGGAGTTACATATTGTATATGTATGTACCTTTTAAGTTCCCAACATTTTATTTTTGTTATTATGAACTGAATAACAAACTTATATATACCCTTCACACGGTGGTGAAGGGTATAAAAAAGGTAATACATATTTTCATGGGTTGTTTCGGAATTTTGTTCCTATCTTCGTTATTTCTGTAACGATTTTGCTGATTTTAAGTAGAGCTCTTTTCGGAAGCATTTCTAATAGAATTATTGAATATTCGGATCACGCAGATCTCTCTGGGATCTTCTGAAAACTGATTTCCAAATACATTATTTGTAGAAATTACAAACGAAATAATAAACTTATGCACCCGTATATTCTCACGTAACTGAAGGGTATAAAAATCTAATCAAAATATCAAAGGGGAAATTGCAAAAATAAATCAGTTTACTATATTAAATAGCCGATGGTTATAATCTAATCTCACTTAAATTTATTACTACAATCATTAGGTTGGTATTATCTATTTCTGATTTCTTTTTTTCGACTTTTTTTGAAACAAACAACAAAGTCATGAACTAATCCGGCATACATTTCTTTCACAAGCTTAAAAGGTCTCAAACATTAAACGTTTACGTTCGATAACTTTAAAACCATAAAAAAATAAACTTTATTTACAATATTAATTATTAAACAACAAATTATATACAAATTTCATCTAAATCTTAAACTACTTCTTAATATTTAAACCTTTTCTTTTAATAGGTGATAATTTGCATGATCCCATGGCTGTATGTTCGTCGAACCGTAGATAATATATAATAGATTTGTTAAACCAAAAATGGCGGCTGAAATGCTAAACACAGTTTGCCATTCGTTCCGATTAGTCTGAAAATTATAATAAAATTTAAATTGAATTTAGTTACATATGTATATTTTAAATCATTGAATTGCATTCACTTACCACATCCTCAACAATGAGACCCACAAACAGGGGCACTACAAAGGACACTATATTGGAAGTGGTATTAATAATACCCATCAAAATACCCACATGGTTGGGAGACAAATCAATAGCATTGAGAGCGCTACCTATAGTAGCGCCCGTAAAAATACCTAAACTGCAGATCATCAAAATAATGCCAAAGATTTTCTGATCTTTGTCCAGAAATCCCAGTAATAAGAGACCACCAGCTGGTATCCAGAAAGCCAGGGAATTGAAAGTTTTTCTCAGCGCATTAAGTGTTAAAAGACGTCGTTTCATAAGAATATTTTCCAAAATTATATAAACGTTTGACATAATCCACTGTGTCAGGAAGGGTAAAGCATAAAATAAGGCATTACCTTTTATATCCATGTCTAAGACTGAATTCATATAAGAAGGAATTTCCGTCTGTATCGTTGCATTGCCCCAGGCACAGCCGGCTCTGGTTATTAATAATGCCCAAAATGGCACCGAACCTAAAATAGCTTTCCAAGGTACTGGTATTGTTTCGTATACAGCATTAACATCTTGTTCCATTAAAGCAGTTTTCGCCTCGTTTATATAATTTATTTCAGCTTGTGATATAAATCTACATGTATTTGGTGAATTAGAGGCAAATATAAGCCATGGCACAGTTAGAATTAAACCAAGAGCACATGACACATACGAAATACCGGGCCAACCCATTGACGAAGCCGCTATAATACTACTCGTATAAATGCCCAACACTATACCAATATCAATAGCTGTATAGGTAATAGCTCCCAAACGATTACGTTCATTAGTTGGACACCAAACAGCTAAATGTTGAAGTAAACAGGGGAAAAGTGGACCCTGTAATAGACCCTGGACTAAACGTATAGCACAATATATCTGCCAACCGCCCCAGTCTATGGTGAGTGGAACCAGTATGCTAAGCACAGAAGAGCCAAAAAATGATAAAAACAGTACTTTTTTAACACCAAAACGATTGCATATTAAGCCTCCTGGAAATTGGGTTATAAAGTAACCGACAAAGAAACTGGACAGTACGTAGGACTTCTCCATTTCACTCCATTTGTATTCCTGAAATGTAAATGAAAAATAGGATGAGTTTTTTGATGTTTAAGAGTGTTATTATTCGGCTATGCCTTGTACAATGCATTGTGTTCGAACTGGGAAAATAGGTTTGTGGGAAGTATGATAGAGGTAGTAGTGTTTGTGGACATTCGATTTAAACTTCCTGTAGAAATGTCTGTCTGTGTGTCTGTCTGTGTATCTGTCTGTTTCAAAGGAAAAGTTTGGGTCAAATTTCACTAAATTGTGACCTATAGTTTGATTACAAGGTTTACACGGATAGACAGACAGACGGACGGACGGACATAGCTAAATCGACTCAGAAAACTATAACGAAGACATTAATGGTCAGGAGTTGAAGTCTGAATGTTTTCATTTGAGATAGTACCTAAAGAACACTGCCAAAGGAAACCAAGGATTTGTGTACATATGTATTTCAGCATTACATACACTTATAAAGTCCTATAGGTGACTATATGTTATAAAATCATAATATAAAAATTATTTTTTTTAATTTGTAGAGGGTCCCAAATACTATAGTGCCCTCGGTTGGGGGTATATTGATTTTGTCATTCCATTTGTAAGACTTTAAAATATTGGTCGTAGACCCACAAAAGTATATATATATATATATATTTTGGGTTCTTATTAAATTCTAAGACGATTTAGCCATATCCGTCCCTCTGGCTGTTGTAGACACGATAAGGTGTAAACGACAGAGGCTAGAAAGATGAAAATTTGCAAATATTCTCAATTGATAGGCAATATTTGGCAACTAATGTACGAGCTAGCGTCGAAAGCACTGCTTCGGGAATAATGCCGGCATGTCATTTGGTCCAGGAGACTTATTTTTGTTAAGATCCGCTAAAACCCCCCTTTAAGCTTCACTATTTGGCATAGTTACTGATACTGATTCGAGCTCGCTCAGTGATTGAACGTTTTCCGGAACGTAAGAAAACGTTGCGAATGTGGGGCTGTTGAAATCAATTTTCTGAAGACCCCAGATATCTCCGAAATCCAAAACTTCAATAATTCAAACAGACATTCTTTCGAGAAGTATCCTATTTATTTATAAGCAAAATCTGTCCATAAATAACGAAGATATGAGTTTATTCA